TTCATTCATCCCCTAAGACAGCCCTTCTAAAGGGGAAGTGTTTGCAAAACAAGTTCTATCATCATACATTTGTGCTTTTTTGGTCAAAATGAGCAGCCGGAGCGTTAAGTTCCAACAGACCACAATCTTCTTTTAAAATTAATTTTTGTAAATGAAAACTGTAGTCTCACTGTTTCAATACCTCAACTGAGATCTGATAAAGTTGAAACATATATCTAAACCCACTTAAGTAAAAGGTAAAATCAGTCAAAGTATCTGCAAGAACAGAATCTGTTAGCACAAATTTCATCTAATTACTTTCCTGCCACTGGAGGGTCCTCAAACATACTCTGGTGTCTCTTGTTCTGTTCCTAAGACACATTCCCAATTAATTGCTCAAAAACTGAAGTACTTTGGTGTTGTGCTCAATACGTGATATCTCAGGGAGATGTAATGACCTGTTCTATACAGAAGATCAGACCAGATTACTGCATGCTTTCATACAGCTTCAGATTAAGAAATCTGTCATCAAAACAAATGCTTCAATATCCATGGAAACAGCCCCACAACCCCCTCACCATTTACTGCTGCAGCATCTACAGCTGGACTGAGCACAACACAAGCAGGTGGCAGTGAGGGTGTCACACCTGCCTCTCCAATTCTCAGCCCAAGGGATACTCCGGAACAGCACGGGGAATGCTCCCGAACACCTGGGCTGCGTCACACCAAAGGGAAGTCTGTTGTCATTGCCGTGCCCCCATAGTGCTAGTAATGGCAAAAATGCTGCGTCATTTCCCAGGAATTTCCAAATAAAATATCCTCTCCATTATGAGCTCAGTGGACAACAAAAGTGTGAAACTATTTCATGAGGTGAAACTAATTTATATAAAATTCACAAAAACAGAACACCTTGACATCTTCCTTAACATCATACTGAGGCTGAATTGGGTTTCATGGTGGTTTAAACAATATAAACCCACTTAAAAAAAAAATGATAACATCATCTTGAGTGACTTAAATCTACAAAAGTGAAGAAATTAGCCAATCCGATTGTACGGATCATTTCTCAACGTTCCATTTAGCTTTTAATTACCCAGCAGACTGTAATAGCTGCTTTGGAGCTATTACACTCCATCGTGTCAATTTGGCTGCTACAAATGCACAGCACAAAGTCCTCAAGCTAAAAATCATTATGAAATTATTGTTGAAAAAGATTGTTGGGCATGTGCAATCGCTAGCTTTTGAACTTCTATGTTTTACAATTTCTCTTTTTTATAAATAGCGAGAGCAATTAGATGCTGTTATGGAGCTATTCTAAACCTTTCAGTTTTCAGAACCAAAGCATTTCTTGAGTTATAGAACTGTAAAAATTCAGTTAAATTGGCAAAGTTCTGTTTGCAGTCTGTCACAGCCTCATATTTTCTCTTTAGTTCTGCATACAATCTATTCAAGTCACATTTTTTATGTAATGTTCTATCAGGTAAAACAAGAAAATATTTGGGAGAGTAAATGCAAGAAACCTGAAAAAATCAGGTATGCACCAGAAGCTACACAATATCAAGAAACAGATGAACAAAATTCAAAGCATTAAGTAGCACACCGAGCCTTGCCTGGACACTAGATTAAAAAGGGAAAGGAAGGATTTAGGAACGTGAAAATGCAAAGATAAACAAAGCTTTATGTAAAATCACAAGTCTAAAATAACAAGGAAATTGCATTGGTGGGATTTGCAGAGAACGAGCAATTAAACAGTTTGTGGATTTGAGAGAAAGCAAGCGGTATCTAGGCAAGACGTTTTCTCAATTGTGTGCCCCGAATTATGGAAATTCCAGCTCAAAGCACAGAGTAGACTCAGACTGGAATGGAGTCTTATCAAGAACACAGACCAGGACTTCATAAAGTAACAGCTCAGCAAACAAAATGAAACAACCTGTCACTGTCTTGAAGACCTTGCAGTGTTAAGACAGAAGCCCCCTCCCAAAGACCATACAGCCAAGCAAGGAAGCAGAAGGAAATTATTCAACTCCATTTGACAGCATATTAACTTGCTGGATCATGCTCAAAGTTTCTTGTAGGCATCCCAGCACAGAAACACTTCCAGAAAGCATTTAGTAGTACTAATGAGGCAGATTCACAGGATCAGGTTTTTTCTGTGAGTGTAAGTCAGGAGCAGCATAGGAATGAGCGCCGGTGGGACTCTGAACTTAAGGGGCTGGCAAACGGCTGACTGGAGCCATGAGCTGATCTCTCCTTGCTGCCTCCAGGATGGGAAAGGTCATAAACCACCCCAAAAGTAGAGAAGAGGGAGGAGACAAACTGTGGGACACAGACCATGAGTGTAAACGTCAAAGCAATAGCCAAGAGCAGCTTTCTGGAGTCTTTAGGGGAAAAAAAAAAAAAAAAGCATTGCAGTAATTGAAATATGAGTTGTTAAGAGCTTTGACAAGAGTTTTAGATTTATTGGAAAGGCTCTATCATCACAGGACTATTAAAAGTAAGAGGGATTCACAAATAACAGATACAACATAAAGTCTAGAAAGATGACAGAGTAAATAATTTCCAGACAATTACATCCTCTGGGACAAGCAGCATGTTTACATTCTCTGGGGAACTGGAAAATAATAAGAGGAAGAGGTGTGGCAGGATCTGTAAGAACTGCTATGGCAAGATAAATCTGAGTTTTCAAAAGAGGTTGACAAATAGTTGATCAAAGAGATTAAGAGGAAGGGCAAAAAAGATACCCCAGGAAAGCTGAAATAAGGATAAGGTGGGAGTTCTCTGAAAGAGTGATTAGATTGATAAGAAATCAAGCAAGGATGGTGTCAAAGAAGCAGAAGTGGCGGAGATTTCAAGGAAGATATGTACTAAAGCATCAAAAGAGACTACCACTCCTTTTGTTATTGAACTGATGTTCAGGACCAATAGCAAAAAGCAAAAGATCAGGTAAAATGAGGTGCTGTACTATCAAATTTTACACAAAACTAACAAAATTAAATGGCCTGGATGAACTGCATACTTAAAATACCAAGAAGTTTACACAATCCCCCTCTATTATTCAGTATTATTCAGAAAACCAAGAGGAGCATAAAAGGTTTAGAGAAGAAAGGTACAGAAAAAGCACGTCCTTGGGAAAAGCTCAATTTTGAAAGGGATGCGAAACCAACAAGCAAACGAAGCACTGAAGATGAAACACAAGTGGGTGGACAGAGAAAATTACTGAAATACTTTCATTATCCAACACAGAAATTATTGCTATGAAAAAATTAAGGCATGAAAAGTTCTCATTCCTACAGCCATGTGTTTTAATGATGCTGACCGGCTTTACAACAGGCAGACATACTGGTAGCAAAGTTAGTTCACCAGAAAACAGCCAAGGCCTTTGTATGCAGAGAACAAACTGGGTGTCTAACTCTGCTTCAAAACCAAATTCTTTTGAGAGGTGCCTATGAAACGCTAGAGTTGGGGAGTGAAGTAACACCACAGTACGGTACTCTGTTTTTGGTTTGTCTTTAAATATGTAAGAAAAACTAATCCTGCAAGTCTGCACACTGCTAAATACAAAGTACTGCACACTCCACAGAAACCTGCTGATGCAGCACCGCGCCGAGAGCCAGGAGCATAGCGCGCGTGGCATTTCCTACAACACAATAAGAAACAGTTCTTTCATGGCTGCGTTCAGGAAAAATTAACAACATTCTTGGACAGCTTTTCAGCTGTCCAAAACGTTCATGTTTACCAGTTCCCCTCTCATTTCACTTTGAAAGAAACTTTATGTCCCAGATCAGGTAGGTAGAACACATACAGTTCAGGGTGTGTATGTGAGGGGTAGCTGTAACTAAAAGAACAGGCCTAACTTCTGCCTGTTGTTAACAAGTAAATATGAGGGAATAAGAAAAGCATAATAGCATTTCAGAGTATAAGAAGAATCAGCACTTTCATTATCAGTCGTGAAAAGGCGCACAGCTCAACCAATGGACAAACGTACACAGTCAGGAAGCCAAGCACTCATTATGCTGGAGATGTGTTTTGAGTAATAAATACAACATCCAATGCTTTTTTAAGCCTCTACGCTCTTTCGATGAAAGTTAATTTAAAAAGGTCACTGTTAACATAGGAAAACGTGTCCTCGCTCAAAAATGGCTCTTTAATGTTCAGCTATCATCATTTAAGGCACAGGCTGCGCAGGCTGTGTTTGCAATTAAAACACACTTTTTTCTTTCTTTTGTAGAAGCACAAACCGCTTCTCTCACCGGTGTTACAGCCCAAGGTCTCTCACCTGATGCTCTCAGAGTTGCCCAGGTACTGATGTGTATATGAGATTCTCTTCTGAGCACCTCAGGGAGAAAGTCATACACTTTTCTATTCTCCAAGCTGAAGCCACAGCTTTGAATCGATGTACCCCGGGAGGAAAGTGAATCTGCCTCTCACCCTCACAGCCAACTCGGGTCGCCATTTCGACCTGCTAACTTGGAGGGTTTGGCCAGCAATCATAAATGTCTAATGTTTCTTTCCTAGATTAACACTTCTACAAATATCCTAAACATTATCTTACCTAATTATGACTTAAACAAAAAAATCAAAGTTTTTATGTTCACAGACTGGTTCGGTACATACTTCACTTCATAATATCAGTCAGTCACAAATACATAAAAAAGGGCCCAGTTCAACTCTTTAAAGTACTGTGTAGTTATTTCAAAATATTTGGATGGTAACATAAAAGAATATCTTTCAGAAACTCCTGATGTAAATAAAACCTTTTAATATGAACAGCAAAGTCATAATAAATCTTGCCAGTGTCCATCTAACAGACCTGTAGAAAGTGCAGGTGAACTAGAGCACAGGTACAGCAAGCGATTCGGATGGTTTTCAGGATGGTTACTGAATCCTGGATGATATTTTGGGATCCAGGAAGTAGAAGATAACGGACTTCTACCAACTCTACAAGAGTTATAAGCAAAGCTGTTTCTTCCTTCTTCCACAAGGTTATATCTAAAATAATGGACTTCTAGCAACTGTAAGAGTTACAGGCGAAGCCGTTCCACCACCACCTCCTCACGCTTCTCTCTCTCCCAGTTTAAACTCATCGGCTCCTTTTCCTGCCCACGCACTGACCACGTGCCAAAACCTGATTTGGTGGAGAATGCGGCAGCTCCCTTTAGGCCTTGTTGTGCTAATTCCAAGGACACAGCCAGGGGCCCACAATCCCGCATTACTTCAGGGCATGTCCACATTCTTCTCCACATTCCCACAGAATCCAAGACTGAATAGAAAATGGCAATGCATGATATAATTTTAATTATATTTTCCACCAGATTACTCGCTCTGGCATTACTGTTAATCAGTATGTATTATGCAGATAGTTCAAAGTCTACCTGAAAGTTCAGTGAGAGGCAGAATCCTTTTTCCTTTCCCCCCTTAAACTACAGTGCAATCTGTCATGGAAGAGATCCCTCAAATTACCATTAAAAACGTACCTGTACTGTACAGAAAACAAGGTAAAATGTTTCCTACATATAATCTTGTAGCACAATTAGGGCAATTCTGGATTACAAGTGATACACAACCCACACAATAAATAATGCACATTACTTTTAGATTAGCACTGCTGACAGCATTTAACTTTAGCACTGCTGCAAGACTTGGATCTAACATCAATATAACTGACTACAACCCTTTTGCTTAATTGCCATCTACAGAAGAATCTAATTAGACCAAGAAATATTAAAATAGTTTTAATGGTTAACATAAAGCTTCATAAAAACAATCACTGCTGGTTCAAGGACACAATCAATAGCCTTTAGTTTGAAAAATACTGTGCTTACAATTATAACTAGACTGGTGTTCAATCCATCCTCTCTCCTTTTTCATAAAAATCAGTATCTTGAAGAATGTTCCTATGGCACTACATGCACTGTAATATTTCACTCTTTCTCTAAATCTCAGAAAATGTGCTGTAGATGGCCCCAGGAGCAAACACAGCAAAGATGAAGTAAAACTCGAAAAGGAGCTGTCTAGTTTAATCTATGAATGTTCACAGCAAGGGCTTCGTGTAGAAATTTGTAATCAGGATTTCCACAAATGATGGTGGCAAGGTTTCACTGGAACTGGTGCTGTTGTCATCTGCAGAGCCTGTCACAGCAACCTGCAAGCATTTGCTGCTTCTCTGATTTGAGAATCCCCAAGCATTATGTTTCTCCCCAGTGCCCAAACACACATACTATATCTTTCTGTTTAGAAACCACCCTGGCTTAATAGCCACGCATTTGTTATGCTCTGCGGGGAGAAGTGCAGTATAGACTCAAACGAGCTGCTGTAGTTTCAAAATGCTAACCAGAAACCTACCGAATTAAACCTGTCTGCGATACAAGTTAGCGTGTCAATTAGGAGCAAACTCTCTGCATCGGTGATGGGTAAGCGAGGGACCAGGGGAACGCCCGGGAAGGAACACCACTTGTCAGGGTTTCTAACTAAGATGACTTCACTCCAGGTAAACAAACAGCGCAGACACTACAGGTCTGGTTTCTTAAGCACATTCACAGAATAAAAATAGCTCAGAAGCAGGAATACAAAAACTCTCCTCCAGTTATCCCTTTTCTCCAGCCTTCTATTTAACCTGTATACAATTACTCCAATGTAGTTAGCTTTACAAGGAATGGGGTGTAATTTTCATAGGAACTTCAGGTAGCCCAGGATGCTCCGGCACATGCTGAATGGCAGAGGCTCACGTAAGAAAAAAAACCCCAAAACCAAAAAACCCCACTGACCTACACTTTCCATGGTCACCTAACAGTCACACCCTGACGCTGATGCTTACCCACAGTGCTAGAGAAGAAATACACACACAACCTCAAAAGTTGCCTCTCCTTGCAACTGTCAGACCTCAAACAACAGCTAGTTCAAAAACGTTCTCTTTCAAATGAAAAAGTAACCCAAACAAGGATAATCCAGGTAAATTGGTACAAGAAAGAGGAGAATCAGTTCCTTGCTGTTCTCCCTACATCAACCAAACCCTTCAGGCAGCCTTCAGCCTAGTTGTCAGTGATGTTTTCTCACGGTTTATTCTTTCCATTCTCATACGGACCTGCTATACAGCCTGTATACGAGCAGCATGTCCAGAAGCATCATCTCCTCAAGCACACTCACCACAGGGGCCTATCTGCCCATTTTGACCCAGAGCATCATCTCACTGTGTACGGTATCTCTTCTCACCACTATGTTTAAGAGAGGCTTCAAAGTCCGAACTAATAATAATTAGTACCATGAGATTACCACCATCCTAAACACAAAGGATTCTCAACAATGACGGGAACCACCGCGACCAAGGCACCCGCAGCCCTTAGAGTATGCGCTGTACCACACCACTTGGCCCCACCGGTACCAACACTGGAGCAAGGAAGAAGTACATGCAGCATGTCTCTCATGTCCCTAGCAAAGAGCCACAGCGGAGAATCACCATCCTGCATGGATCAGTGGATCCTAGAGAAGAACCAGGAGAGAAAAGAAACTATGAGACTTGGCTGAGATTTGGGCTGAAATGTCCACAGGTCAATCTCAGCTTCCACAGTCACAGCAGACCAGCTGGGGTCACCACAGACTGACCTCTTGCCCAAAAGATTTAATATTAACACTACTATCATGTGAGACATGGTAACTTCTTCATCATGACATATTAAAATGGGCCATTGTTCAGCATAATTTGGAGCCTGAACAACAATCATTACCTTCTCAACATTTCTTAAAAACAATAAAAACATTGCCTCCAAATCAAAATGCAAACACTTCAACAGCCCACAGAAATTGCTCTTCCCCAATAATTTATTCATATTTTTGCAATTTCAACCTAGGATGATGTGT